TTCTGCAGGTTGCCTCGGTCGTGTAATGGGGAGGTTTTGGTGGCAAAAAAACAAGAAAGTTGTTCACGCGCGCTTGAGTGTGGGACGAGGCTTAACGTCGCGAGGCCCGCTTGTTCGTTTGACCCGGAGATGACGGGATAGTTGATGGGCAATGCGGTCGATTGAACCAATTCGAATCCCTTGAATCGAAAAAACGAATTCGACAAATCTTTGTATGTTGGGGAGAGCTTGGGCGAAGATGAAACTCGTTGAATGAGGAAGGGTGGAGGGATCTGGGCAAGAACCGATGACGAGTGTGGGTTTTTTGGCGTGGAGTAAAAAAAACAAAGTTTGGTATTTTGGTGATGGTCGTTTTGCTTAAGCGCCGCTGCTGCCCGCAGAAACAACCCCCACCTGCGGCTATATCGCGTGTACTCGAGGTAATTCGTTTCTATTAGAATCAAGTAGCCAATATGCATCTTATTTGGCATCAGGGATTTGGCGTCTCTCGCTGTGTCGTAGACTTGATTCAAATACATGATGCTTGGGGGTGCGTCTCTTTCAGAGGTAGCGCATCGCAGCAAAGCAACTTGGCAGGCCAGCGCGTTGAAATTGATATTACTGGTATATGTAAATAGTTTATCATGACAGCAACATGGTTTTTTTCCTGGCCGTGTTTCTTCTCTGATCATGGTAACTCGGCGTTCAAACTCGACGCATTACTGGAGCTGTCTGGTATACAAGGCCTGCGTTTGGTTCATCTCGGATGCTCGGCAAGGTGGTTGGATATGGAGGTTACGATTATCACTTTTGGGGTATTTCTTAAACATTTCGCTGATATGCACCTTTCTGTTTCGACGGTTCATGTCCCTTGGCACTCTTCCTCGCTCAACATGCTCAAGTACGTCACAAGGCTACACACGCAACTCGACGAACAGTGACTAACCATGCATTCAACCGAGACTTTAAACACCACTATTGCAGGCTCACAACATCTCGCATCCGCCGTCGACTCACTATCATTCATATCCTCTGCTCTTATGCACCATTGACGTGAGTTTTGCGTCTACATCTTTACCAACGGGCAGCCTACCCTAGACCAACACATGTCAAATGCTTCAACATGACCACCACCCACCACCACCCACCACCACCATCACCACCACCTCTCGCGGTCTTGCGCATGACACATCGGCGCGGTCCGAGGTAAAAGTCGGTTCCCCCACCGCCGTTGTCGTCTTCTTTTTCTTTCTTCCTGTTTCCATGACACACACACACACACACACACACACACCACACATGCACACCTACACATACTTTGGTGCGCGCGCCATTGCATAAACACGCCCCCTCCTTCCTCCTCCTTTTCAACTCGCGGCCCGTCCCGTTGGATACCGCGCCGGTATTCGCTTAGTTGCAGTGTTGCAACAAGCCAGAAAAGAACGTTTTCTCCCTCTTTTCTAGACTGTCCAATAATAGAGCATGCAATTCATGACACCCCCATCCTCTTTGCTTCACCGACATTACTCCCTTCTCTTTTTCTTTTTTTTTTTTTAGTGTGCTGCCCAAAGACGAAGACCACGCGGGGTGTGCATATATATATATATATATATACTTATATATGTATATACGTGTGTGTCACTGGTTGGCAAGTTGGGTAGTAGGATTACACGCAACAATCATGTCTTGTTTTATGACTTTTCTTATTAGGCTCTCTTGTACAGGACTAGTGTAAGACTAAATGGGCAGGTAAACAAAAGCAAGTAAGCAACAAGATTGTGGCCTGTTTTTTTTTTTTTTTTTTGTGTTATTCAGAGTACACCGCCTGTGGGCAAAGAAAGCAAGCACCAAAGGGAAGAAGAAATGGAATCGACTTCCAGAATTACACCGAAAACTGCACGGCATCAGGCACAAACACCGCCTCTTGCAACGGCTTATCCGGCTGGCTTATCAGCTTATTCAAGGGGAAAACGGCATGTCGCAATGACTATAATCGAAGCCGCATCCTTTTCACGTTTTCTTTTTTTTTTTTTTTAAACTTTTATCTGCCGATGCATAAATGACAGATGCAGCTTTTGTACCTTCTTTTGCTTTCTTTTGACTCCTTCTCTTTCATGTCCGAGCCCGAGCGCTCCGCTATGCAAGCAAGGGATGTTGGGTCTACTGTACCTTTCGGCGGTGAGCCCGCCACCGCGTATTTAGCTGTCCCGTCTGAGAAAAGAGAGGATTCCGTCATTCGTGCGACACATGTAACTACCGAAAAAGCCCCAAAATAAAAATAAAAATACAAAGAACAAAAGAGGAAAAATAAAAAAAGACGGCCCAGGAATTGGGCGGACGGACAGGCGGGCTTTTCATCGGCATCCCCCGCACCAGCGACATGGCTCGACATTATCTGTCTGTATCAGTGCGGATCATCAGTCTGTTTATGCCTGCGCCCCGATTGTCTCGTCCTGTCAGTTTGCTTCTTTCCGCGGCCGAATCTGGCACAACCGTTGCTGTTTAAGTTGATCTTGTGTTAGAAAAAAAAAAAGAAAAAAAAAAAGAATCACGTACTCTGTCGAGGCAGCGTGCCATCCATGCCGCTTCTTGACCGCTACAACTTACACCAACTTACACACACTTACACATAGGTATGTAAAGACACATGCGCATTGGGCGTCAATAACCTTAGAGAAAAGACGGCCCTTTTACTCCGTACATGGATAGCCATAGTTCATCACCACCAAGTGTCCTGGCTTCGCGGCTGCTCTCCGACGCATGAGCCACGACTTGATTAAAATCGCTCCTCAGCCATTGCGCTCGCTCCCCTTTCCTTGCTGTGGCTAATAAACAAAGTGTCATTGTTTACTTGTAACATGGCGACGAGCGGCGAGCGGCGAGCGGCAATTTCCCCCCAATCGATACCGCCAACTTTGATACATCGGCTTCGGTAAGCAGAGCGAAAAACGCAAAAAGGTGCGTAACACAACATGAGCGCCAAGCTTTGGGTTTATCATGCCCAAGACACACGACAAAGACAAAGCAGGCCACAACGTCGGTCAGGCAGCCTCATATACGCCATCATCCCTGCCTCTCCACGCCCAAGAGATTCTTATAATTAGCACTAATAAGAAAACATGTCCTGTTTGTTAGTTAGTCAAGCGCCTTTCTGTCAGACGCCAGTTCTCTCGTGCCAGCATCACTGCCTTTCTGCATGCTCTTCGCAAACCTCATGCGCCATGACAGAACTAGGCTGACAGGGCTCGACAACGGCGTCGAAGCCACCATCTTCGCCCTCCTTGTCATGTGCCTGGGAGTGCCTCTATCAGCCAGCTTCTCCAACCCTCTGTTGGGCTGGAATATAAACCAGATTCCTGGAACTTGTCTCCCAAGCCACCGTAGCATTTACGTTAGACGGCCAGCCGGCGCTCCCATGACCAAGCTTTCGGGACCGCGCGCTGTAACCTCGCAATTCGTTGCAAAAAAGTGTGGCTGTCCTTGCTCCAGGCTAGATATGCATGTCCAACAGGGGACACACATGTGCAATGTCGTCAGTGCCAGCCTTTTTTTGCCCTTCTTCAGCCACCTCTGTCAGTAATCTCAAAAAAGACCACGTTATATCCTCACCGTATTGCTGTCCGAAAAGCGTTTGATTGTCATCTTTTTCGCCATGTCGAGTGCCACCTCTCTCACAATCGTAGTCTGAGTTAGACGAAAGATTCAGGGCTGCCGGGGAAGCTCATCCTAGGGCCCGGAGCAGCGCCCTACCATTACCATATGCCACGACAGAACAAGCAACCAAAGATGGGGCATGCGCGGATGACGAGACTATGAATATGCCAAGTTTCGTGCAACCAACCATCTCATCATCTTCTGAACCTTCTCCCTTCGCTACCGCTGGCGCCCCAACATCACCAATGTCGCCAGCGCTGCCCACACACATGTGTGAGACGGTTGAGCACGATATATGGAAAAAGGGTCCAGCCGGAAAGCACGTCAGTCTTTTTGCCGCGGGTGCGCAGGTGCAGCATTTGCCATTGGATTTAGCTGTGGAGGAGAGAGACAAGAAGGTCAAGGGAGAAGGTTGAAGGTTGCATGAGAGACCAGCATTAGCTTTGCAGGGTTGCTGATCGACTCTGGGTTAGGGTTAGAGCAGAATCAGTCACCACGCCTTCATCTTCCTTTCGTTTCTGTTCTTTCAAGATTGCATGTGTGTCTCCTCTCGCTCGAGACGAGGTGGCATGTTTTTGTCTCGTCTCCCGGCGGTACATCATGTGCTTTAGTGAGCCAAGGGGCACTTGTCGCGCTGCCGGTGCGCCATGTGTTGCCTGTCACAACCACCTCGATAGATGATTGACTTTATTTCCACACCGGAGACAGCCTGCAGCCTCACGTGAAGAACTATTCTCTTCTCGACATGCCCAAACATTGGGCCGGTGATACTTGATCTCATGAGCACGCTCCGTGCACCCCAAAGCCACTTACAAGGCTGCATGGGAAATAAGCCGAAATCTAATGTTTTAGACGTGCGAACCTTGGCCCGGGATAAGTAGGGCTCGGCAGGCCAATTTCGCGCTTCTCTCTCTTGTGTTACAAAGGCCAGCAAAGCAGCCCACACGCACCCTGGTTAGCC